TCTCTCTCCCCCTCTCCCTCTCCCTCTCCCTCTCCCTCTCTCTCTCTCTCTCTCTCTCTCTCTCTCTCCCTCACTCACTCACTCACTCACTCACTCACTCACTCACAGTGAGTGAGTGAGTGAGTGGAGTGAGTGAGTGAGTGAGTGAGTGAGTGAGTGAGTGAGTGAGTGAGTGAGTGAGTGAGTGAGTGAGTGAGCGAGCGAGCGAGTGAGTGAGTGAGTGAGGGAGGGAGGGAGTGAGGGAGTGAGGGAGTGAGGGAGTGAGGGAGTGAGGGAGTGAGTGAGTGAGTGAGTGAGTGAGGGAGTGAGGGAGGTGAGTGAGTGAGTGAGTGAGTGAGCGAGTGAGCGAGTGGATGGAGTGGAGTGGAGTGGAGTGGAGTGGGGTGGAGTGGAGTGGAGTGGAGTGGAGTGGAGCGGAGGAGCGGAGTGGAGTGGAGTGATGAGTGATGAGTGATGAGAGATGACTGATGATTTGTGAGTGATGAGTGATGAGTGAGTGAGTGAGTGAGTGAGTGAGTGAGTGAGTGAGTGAGTGAGTGAGTGTGAGTGAGTGAGTGAGTGAGTGAGTGAGTGAGTGAGAGTGAGTGAGTGAGTGAGTGAGTGAGTGAGTGAGTGAGTGAGTGAGTGAGAGTGAGTGAGTGAGTGAGTGAGTGAGTGAGTGAGTGAGTGAGTGAGTGGTGAGTGAGTGAGTGAGTGAGTGAGTGAGTGAGTGAGTGAGTGAGTGTGAGTGAGTGAGTGAGTGAGTGAGTGAGTGAGTGAGTGAGTGAGTGAGTGAGTGAGTGAGTGAGTGGAGTGAGTGGAGTGGAGTGGAGTGGAGTGGAGTGGAGTGGAGTGGAGTGGAGTGGAGTGGAGTGGAGTGGAGTGGAGTGGAGTGGAGTGGAGTGGAGTGGAGTGGAGTGGAGTGGAGTGGAGTGGAGTGGAGTGGAGTGGAGTGGAGTGGAGTGGAGTGGAGTGGAGTGGAGTGGAGTGGAGTGGAGTGGAGTGGAGTGGAGTGGAGTGGAGTGGAGTGGAGTGGAGTGGAGTGGAGTGGAGTGGAGTGGAGTGGAGTGGAGTGGAGTGGAGTGGAGTGGAGTGGAGTGGAGTGGAGTGGAGTGGAGTGGAGTCGAGTGGAGTCGAGTGGAGTCGAGTGGAGTCGAGTGGAGTGGAGTGGAGTGGAGTGGAGTGGAGTGGAGTGACAGAGACAGAGACAGAGACAGAGACAGAGACAGAGACAGAGACAGAGACAGAGACAGAGAAAGAGAAAGAGAAAGAGAAAGAGGGAGAGACAGAGAAAGAGATTGAGATCGAGAAAGAGACAGAGCAGAAGATAGAAAAAACGGAGACAGAAACAGTGAGACAGACAGAGACAGAGAAGATGAGAGAGAGAGAGAGAGAAAGAGAGAAAGAGAGAAAGAGAGAAAGAGAGAAAGAGAGAAAGAGAGAAAGAGAGAAAGAGAGAAAGAGAGAAAGAGAGAAAGAGAGAAAGAGAGAAAGAGAGAAAGAGAGAAAGAGAGAAACAAAGAAACAGAGAAAGAGAGAACGAGTCAGAGAGAAAGAGAGAAAGAGAGAAAGAGAGAAACAAAGAAACAGAGAAAGAGAGAACGAGTCAGAGAGAAAGAGAGAAAAACAAGAGAGCAAGAGAGAAAGAAAGAAAGAAAGAAAGAAAGAAAGAAAGAAAGAAAGAAAGAAAGAAAGAAAGAAAGAAAGAAAGAAAGAAAGAAAGAAAGAAAGAAAGAGAGAAAGAGAGCAAGAAAGAAAGAGAGAAAGAGAGCAAGAGAGGGGGTCAGAGAGAAAGAGAGAAACTCACAAGAAAGAATGTGTCGCTAATGACTCTCGTTGGGCACACTGAGGCAGATAGAGAGATCGAGGAAGGAAACAATTGCTGCTGCTGCGACCATTGCAGAGGGAGGGGGGGTTCTTTTGAGTACCCCTGCCAAACTGTTGGTGGTTGGAAATCCAATGAGTCAAGCGGCTGGGTTGTGGGCACGAACTACAAAATAACAAGGGCATGCAATGACAATGGGACGCTGCGCATAGCCGACTATGTGCCAGACGTGCACTGAGTGTCCCATATCAACTTTGGAACAAGGTACACCGTGATTTGAGGGGGCGGACCGACCTTCATCACATTTTTCATCATCGCATCTTTCATCACGTGTCTCGAGGCGCCTCTCGTCGCGACTACGTAGCATCTCCCGTCACGTCTTTCTTGGAGATTCTGTCGCGCGCGTCGTCGCCCCTCGCGTCATGTCTCTGGCCACGTCTCTGGTCACGACCCTCGCCACGTCTCTTCTCACACGTCTCTTGTCATATTTGCCGCCCCGTCTCTGGCAAGCTTTCGCGTCACGACCCTCGTCACGTCTCTTGTCGCATCTCTCGTCACGTCTCTGGTCACGCCATATCTCGCGTCTCGTCGCGACTCTCCTCGCACGTCTCTTGTCACATCCATCACATCCATCGTCATGCCTCTGGTCACGTCTTTGGTCACGTCCTTTGTCACGTCTGTCGTAACAACTCTGGCCACGTCTCTTGTCATGACTTTCATCTTATCTTTCATCATGAATGTGTCTCAACACGCCTCTCGTCACGACAACTTGCATCTCCCGTCCCGTCTTTCTTGGAGATCCTGTCGCGCGCGTCGTCACACCTCGCGTCACGTCTCTGGTCACGTCTCTGGTCACGACCCTCGCCACGTCTCTTCTCAAACGTCTCGTGTCATATTTGCCGTCCCGTCTCTGGTAACCTCTCGCGTCACGACCCTCGTCACGTCTCTTGTCGCATCTCTCGTCACGTCTCTGGTCACGCCATATCTCGCGTCTCGTCGCGACTCTCCTCGCACGTCTCTTGTCACATCCATCACATCCATCGTCATGCCTCTGGTCACGTCTTTGGTCACGTCCTTTGTCACTCTGTCGTAACAACTCTGGCCATGTCTCTCGTCATGACTTTCATCTTATCTTTCATCATGTGTCTCAACACGCCTCTCGTGATGACTACGTCCATCCCCGTCGCGTCTTTCTCGGAGATCCTGTCGCGTGCGTCGTCACCCCTCGCGTCGCGTCTCTGATCACGTCTCTTGTCACGACCCTCGCCACGTCTCTTCTCACACGTCTCTTGTCATATTTGCCGTCCCGTCTCTGGCAACCTCTCGCGTCACGATCCTCGTCACGTCTCTTGTCGCATCTCTCGTCACGTCTATGGTCACGCCATATCTCGCGTCTCGTCGCGACTCTCCTCGCACGTCTCTTGTCACATCCATCACATCCATCGTCATGCCTCTGGTCACGTCTTTGGTCACGTCCTTCGTCACGTGTGTCGTAACAACTCTGGCCACGTCTCTTGTCATGACTTTCATATTATCTTTCATCATGTGTCTCAACACGCCTCTCGTCACGACTACGTAGCATCTCCCGTCACGTCTTTCTTGGAGATCCTGTCGCGCGCGTCGTCACCCCTCGCGTCACGTCTCTGGTCACGTCTCTTGTCACGACCCTCGCCACGTCTCTTCTCAAACGTCTCTTCTCGTATTTGCCATCCCGTCTCTGGCAACCTCTCGCGTCACGATCCTCGTCACGGATCTTGTCGCATCTCTCGTCACGGCTCTCCTCTTGTCACATCCATCGTCACACCTCTGGTCACGTCTGCTGTCACGTCTTTGGTCACGTGCTTTGTGACGTCTGTCGTAACAACTCTGCTCCCGTCTCTCGTCATCACTGGTTCAAGCATAATTTCAATGTTAGGGATAATTTAAAAGGGAGTTCCTTTCCACACATGATGTTGAATTAATAACAACTGGTAGGCTGACTACTATACGTTCTATCTTTAAAAATACTTCAAAATGAAGTCCTTTCCATGAATAGAACTTGGCAAGGAAAGGATTCAAATATTGTTACTGTGTTCAATAGAACCTAAACGTGCATTACAATTAATGAGATTTGAACAACAAAAAACAGCGAATTAGGAGTTTGAAGGACATAATTTGATTTGAACGACTATGTTGATTTCGAGTTTAAGCAGGAATTCCATTCCAAAGCCTCTAAAAATTAAAGTTAACTGCAATGTAAATCGATTTTGAATGTCCATTTCAGAATTTAAGTGGGAATTGCTTTCGAATATGATGTTAGTCAAAGTAAATTGCAACTCAAATGGAATTTGACGGATTTTAAGCTTTTTGGCTGCAACATATGCTGCAAAGGTAGCTAACCCACCCCCCCTCCGCCATATATGGTGCCAATATGAACTTCTATGCATTTATGCAGATATGTGTGCGCGTGAGGGCCTGACAAAAAAATCAACGTGCGCACAGCATTCGGGTCAGGCCTGGCTTGTGGATCATGTTCCACTCCTCCGTGGCATCTTTGCCCAAGTACGCCATGATCGCTTGCTCTCCACCAGGGTGAATCGCGATCCATTTCGTCACATCAATCGCCTCTCCGTTCACCACCTGAGCAAATTGAGGTCACCCATTGAAGAAACCCTGATGATGATGCATGGATGTTAATCTGTTTGCCGGCTGTGCGCAGCAGAGTGGTGTGTATTACTTCGCTGACCACCTTGGCTTGCCAGATCCTGCTTCAACAAGTTGAAAAAGAAAGTTGCAAATGGATCGCAAGGAGGCAAAACACGTCCCTTGCAATCCTCGTGCCGGACGTGTTGCCGGGCAAATTGTGCAAGCTTCCATGCCAAACTCTTCAGGCCAACCTCCGAGAAGCTTGCACGCATTCCAACCTCAACGGCCCTGAATAGCTTAAAGTTCCTGAAAGTTGCGGCCCGGCGGCGACCCAAGCGTCGTCCTTCTTGTTGTGCTTCGCCACCTCCTCGAGCGTCACTCCTGGTGGCCCGGCCGGCGCGGCCGGACCAGCAGCCGGGCGCGACTCGAGCTCCTTGCAGTAAGCCAAGAGCTCGTCTTTTGTCCTGATTCCGAAAGACTGCGGCCAGCCGTCCCGTGCAAAAATGCAACCTCTGCCACAAGACAACACAGGCAACGCTTCGAGGTGATGGAAGGAATTGAGGGAAGGCTCATGTCTTCCGGCTTCTTCTCTTTCTTGACTTCTTCCAGCGCGTTTGCGATGGCAACCAAATCGATGACCTTCTCCTTGGCCCCCAGTGCCGTACCCACGCTGGCACCCGCAAGTCGCCCCGTGTAGATGGAGTAGAGCAAGGGCACGCCAGAAGCAGACCACGCGTTGGGACAAGGGCAGGCTGTCACTTCGCCTGCAGCAAACAGCCCTTCGATCGGGGCTCCCGTGCTGGTGAGGACCTTGCCCTGGTCCACTGCCAAGCCACCCGCGCAGGTGTAGGTGGCAGGGGTGACCACAGCAACTAGCACAGCTCCAGTTCCCAAAGGTGGCAACTTGTTGGGCTGAACGCGCATTTCAGCAGCCAGCTGTGCAGCATTGCTGTACTTCTTCATCACGTTGCGGGATACGTAGAAGTCACAAAGCCACTTCACAGCCTCGGTATCTTTCTCAGAGATCACGATGCGGAAAGGCCCCTTGGTGCGTCCCATGGCATCTGCACGCTTTTGCGCAGTCTCCAGCTCGCCGACAAACTGCACGCCCTCATAATTGATGAGCTTGCCGCCAGCGCCGACAAGGGCATCAGAGAGCACGATCTTGAACTTGTCGTTCTCCATGCCAGGAATCACAGCGGCAGTGGGGTAGACTGACACCATGTTCATGTTCTTCACCGCTGCCTTCACTTCAGTAGCCATGCTCAGTCCATCCCCATTGGTGCGCTCGTCACTGGTGGTGGGAAGCTGCATGAGTTGGGGCGCATAGCGGGCCAGCAAAGATGCAGGTGAGGTGTCCCCAGCAAAGCCACCGGTTGCCAGCAAGACCACCCCCATCTCTTTCTGTGCGCCGCCAGCTTGGTACTCCACACCGGTCACCTTGGAGCCTTCCACAACCAGCTTCGTGACGGTGGCCGAGGTCACAATCTTCAGCTTGTCCGGCTTGGCCTTGGCGATGGTGTCCAGCTGGTGCATGACGGCATATGTCACCACTGCTCCGGGGAAGTGGTCCCTGGTGCCCAGCGTGCGGGGAGTCTTCTGATGGCCCGGGGTCAGGCGCAGTACCATCTCATCCTTGCATCCAGCCAGGCTCAGGAGCCAATCCACGTCCTTGGCACCCTTCTCAATCATATCTTTGGCAATCGGCTCCATGGACACCAAGTCGGCACCGTTGTCAGTGACACCGTTCGCTTTCTGCAACTCACTGCCCGGTGCTGCAATGCCTGTGGTGGCCTTCGATGAATTGCCTCCAGGGTAGATGTCTAGCACTCAGAGCTGCAATGGCGCATCATGACAGATATGCCGTGATATGCCCACTGCAAGCACAAATGGATCGAAGTGATATGCCCCAGCAACGCCATTTAGAAACAAATGCTCCAGTGCCGCCCCGGTCAAACCCAATGACCCAGTTCCATTTGCGCCTCCCAGGTTTTGGCTCTTCTCCAGGATGACGATGTTGCAGCCGCGCTCCAGCAGCTCGCAGGCGGCGGAGAGCCCTGCCAGGCCTCCCCCCACGATCACCACCTTCGGCGCCATCGATGGAAAAGACTCGAGAGACTTGGGCCCTCGGTGACCCTCGCCTGACAACCCTCGAGAGGAAGCGACTGGCACAGACGCGCCAAACTTGCAAGCTGGTGCAAGCGCAGCAGAGGCGTGGACCCAATCATGTTCCCCTGCTTTCTGCACACAACAGCCCCCCCCAAAAAAAAAATATAGTTCGTGTCGCCCACCGTGGGCTACCAAGCTCCACCAAGCACAGCCCTGCACAGGCAAGCTTTCTTCCCGAGTGCGGCATTTCTCAACGAAAACTAGCTCGCCTTTTTAATCCCATCTGACTCTGGAAAGACAAGTGGCCTTGCACCGTTCCTTCGGCTCCAAGTTTTGCGAAGCCTTCATTCATGTTGAAAAAGCGAAACCCCGGCTCACTTCAAACCATCCGCGGCTAATCGACATTGATGAGCCGAGTGCTGCAGCAACATACAGGACCTGCCTGCCCCCATGGTCAAACAAAGGCCAACGGCCACACGGCTCTCCGTTGGACAATCGGAATGATCGGCCATGAGGCTCATACAAAGATGCCCTGCCGGAAGCGAGCCAAAAGCGCACGTTGTGATCTAAAAGTGCTGCAGTCCAAGCTGCCTCCACTGCGGTTCTCATACCGCCTGGCACTGACTCCATGAGATCCAGGTTGCTTCTGGTGTCAACCTGGGATCAAGCATTCCCAACCCGAAGAGCTGATCCAAATTCGCGGTACCCGGCGCACCCCATAGGCTTCGATTGCGCCCGTTTACTCGGAACCCTTTCTGGAACCCTCTGGAACCCTTCGAAAACTCCAAAACCTCCACATTCCGAGCAGGTTTTCGGTGGCCACAGGTCTCTCAACGCATCCAGAGCCGCCAAGCTACAAGTGAATGTTGGTTTACACCGACTTGCCCCCATGCCTTTACCATGGAAGACCGCTAAGCCATCCCAGTGCCCAACAGCGCGGTCACATCTCGCGGCCAAGCTACCCCGAGGTTGGGGTACCCAGCCCAAAGCAGCACCTGGTCCACGCCGCCGAAGCGGCTCTTTAGGTCCTTCAAGTAGTGGGCCTTGCGAGCTGAATGGCCGCTCAGCGACACCTGACGAACTCAAACCCCGCATCCTTTTTAGTGGGGAGGCTAGGCGCTGAAGGCCTGCACCACCTTCCTTGAACCTTGCACCTGGCCTGCACCGAGCCATCCCAGAACCTGGGGAACCTTCCTTGCTTACACCTGGCCTGCACCGGACCAACCCGGAACCTCCGGAACCTTCCTTAAAATTTACCCCTGGCCTGCACCGGACCACCCTGGAACCTCCGGAACCTTGTTTGAACTTTACGCCTGACCTGCACCAGGCCAGCCCGGAACCTCCGAAACCTTCCTTGAACCTTACACCTGGCCTGCCCGGAACCTCCGGAACCTTGCTTGAACCTTACACCTGGCCTGCGCCAAACCACCCCGGAACCTCCGGAATCTTGCTCGAACCTGACTGGAGCTCCCCGAGCCACCCCCAAACCTTATCTGGGCTGAGACCCCTTAGCTTTCAGCTGTTGGGGAAAAAGAGAAAGAAATCCAACCGCCACTGAGAGGGGGAGGGTTGTTGGTTACTGGCCGACATCATCACACAGTGGATGACCGCCCTTTGTGAGGGGCGTAGGGGGATTGCTTTCGAGGCGTTCCAGCCAAGTCACGGCAGTCCAATCGTGCCGGATTGGATCGTAGAGGTTCCGGTCATGAACCATTGTCTGCACCTGGGTCGCAGAGCGTGGGCGCGCCCACGCCAAGTGCCGATCCCAAAAGTGTGGGCAAACGCAAACACCTTAGCGTGCAGCAAGCAGGTCCATACCATTCCTTACCGTAGTGGCACCTCGAACCAGGCCAAACATAGAGCACATGGACAAGCTGAACAAGGCTTACTCAGCCAGTGGTTTGGGGAAAAGGCAAACGAGCGCTCAAAGCTGCCCCTCCCTTTAAGAGTTCAAGGTTGCCAGTCTTCGTGTTGGGGCAAGCTTTGCCCCGGCGAGAATCGCAAGTCCGCTTCAGCCAAGGAACTGTAACGTAGGCCTTGCTGCTACGCTGGAACTCGGGCGAAGAAAATTCACCTGGCAATTGAGCTGCCAGGGACAAATGCGTGTTCCTAAGTTGTCTAGGAAAAATGCCCCACAAAATCGAAGCAAATTCGCGTGACTGTGCAAAGCGCCAAGCGCTCGGTGCAGCAGCTTCTGTTGGCTTCGGAAGACTTGAACATCCCGTGTTGCCCAGAATGGCTGAGCACGTGTGGTCCGCTCGGAGCTGATGCTAGACCCAGACATTTTGGCGGGAAACGACGGTGGTCTTCTGCGGCCACGCCTCTGGCTTGAAAAGGAATATTATGAGAGCTTACGATCGAGCATGTCGAAAGACATCCGTCTGATCGCAGTTGGGGCCGTCTCAAACTTGGGCGCCCAAAATTGTTGGCTAACTGCTGGTTTCCCTTTTGAAACCAATCAACCGGGAGTTCCCCAACAAAAGCGCACCCATGTCTGGAACTCTTGGTGCGCGTCCTTTTGGGTGGGGACTCTACAGTTCCATGTCATGTTATGAGAAGCCGCACGGTCGGGGGAGTGCCTCTCGCCTGACTCTTGGGACCAGCCGAGCTTAAGCTGCTGCCGCAGCTGGTGCAGGCTCAAAATCCAGCCGCTCCAGTGGGTCACGTTCCCTGGCCCGCTAATGCCTGGAGTCAAGTCATGAGAAGCTTCATGCGGCCCCAACAAAATGCAAAACAGAAACCAAGACGAAACCAAACATATGCCTCAGGTATCCCCAACCAGTGGAACCCTCTGCAACCCCCGGGAACTCTTGGAGCCCTCCAATTTCCTTTGTCAAGCTGCTCCGAACCACCCGAGCTTATTTGGCCAGAGACCCTAAGTGTTCACAAAAGCAAGCAGACAAAAACAAACGCACAGCAGGGCAAAGCAGTGCAAAGCAAAGCCGAGCAAAGCAGGTCAAAGCAGAGCACGTCAAAGCAAAGCAGCTCACAAAGCAAAGCAAATCAAATCAAAGCAAGCAATCACGCGCAATCAAGTTCAGCCCACGTAAAACGGATTTCGGCCCATGTGTTTTGCCAGGGACCAGCCTTCATGGAAGTAATCCGGCAGCTCAGGCAGGCCGTGCGGCACGCACTTCTGCCCACAGCGGCCCGTGCAGGACTCATAGCTGGCCTCTCGCCGTGCCGTGTTACCACGGAATGTTTGCTTCAAGCGTGGCATGTTGCCTTGAGTAAGTGCAAGGCGAACCTGCAATATCCAAGGACCGGGGAATCCATGTTTCTCCTACCGTCCGGGTCCCTACAAGTACTTCCCCTTACGCTGATTCCAACAATTGCTGGGAGCTGGGCAAGGGGCCGCTTCAAGAGGCTGGGGTTCGCTACGGGAAGCTCCTCGCCGCGGAAGGCGGCGTCCTCCCCAGGAAGGCAGCTCCGGAGGCACCGGCTGCAGGAGGCGTTGATGAAAGGCATGCTGCTCTTCAGCGGCTCCAAGGCCTGAGGGATGGTTTGCGGGCGTGTGAGTGCGCGAAACGCTCAATCCCAACAGACCAAAAAGAACATGGCCCAATGGTAATTTACAGCCATCTGTCATGCAAAAGCACGCTCACAAGTGCAAAGTGCGACAAAGCTCTTCGCTCTGGTGTGAGTCTGGCGTCTTGCGCAGCTGCAAAATAGCCAATGGTTACAAAACCAACTACAGCAGAACAGCTCAGAAGGTAGCCTCTGGGCTGGGATGAAGCAATTGTTGTTTTCTGCCGCCCCATGCCTTGCTTTTGTCTGTCCAGTGGCAGTGTAACCTGGCATGGGGTGTCTCGCCTTGACGCGCCATTTTTGCAAGACCCCACCTCGTCCACCTGCGCTTGCAGCGTGTCCCGCTCATTTCCGCGCCAGACTTGGTCGGCCCCATCACCTCACCAAACTCGGCGCGGCCGCGCACCCAAGGCGAGAACCGGCCCTCAATACCCAAGCCTCCCCCAACTGAGCAAAGCCCTGCCATTGTGAGACACGGGCGAGTACGCTGGGACGGTTGTTTATGATAATGCTGCTGGCCATGGCACTTGTCACGGAAACCGAGACCTGCAGGGTGTGCAGTGCACCATCTCCTCCTTAGTCACGCTGTCACACCCACCCCTCCAGTCGGCCATTGCCAACTGACCATTGCCTTCCGATGTAAATTGAGGTCCTGGTTCCAAACTGTTTGGAAAACGCGACTTCTGCAACCCAAGGGAAGCTCGCCAACAAGAACCCAAGAACCCAGCTGCGCCGAAGCACCGCAATCCTCAGCCACCGCCTCATGCAAAGCCGCCCGCGCCAAGGGCAAAAGTAGGAGCTTCACGGCCAGGCGAAAAGCACGGGACGACATCTGGCCCCCAAAAGCTTCCAAACAGCTGGCCACCTGACCACGATGGCAAGTCCCTTATGGGGTATTGTGCTGAGATCGAAGCCTCAGCTCTGGCTGGGAAGGCGCTGTCAAACTTGGATTTCCAGCACATGGGGCACTTGACATTTGTTGACATGTATCCCGCCGAGGGGTTCCGGCAGGAGCTACAGATGCTGCAGCCAAGGCCAGGTGAAGGATGCATTACGCGTCACACACAAGTTCAAACGTGGCTTCTTGAGTTGCTACCATGGCATGGTAGGAGTTGCTTGCCAGACTTATGGCCCCCAATCAAGCTTGCATGCTCACTTCCCCAAAGCCCCGGCAGCCAAGCCGCGGCCAAAAACACCCTTAACTTTGCCCCTACAAAACTATGACATGGCGGTTACGGTGCTCCAGGGGGAGCGGGAGGGCAGCCATGGGTCCCGCTCCCACCTGCGTCGCAAGCTGTGCCAGTGGCGGCGCCTTGATCCACGGCAAGTCACATGGGTGCAGCCACTGCGTCTTGGGCACCGGGCTGTCTGTGACAGAGGGTTGCTCTGAACCGGCACTTTGGAGGCGGGTAGGGTGGCAGCCAGCGAGTTCACGGAGCCAGACCGCGCCTGCGTGGCAGTGAGGGCGGCTGGCACCTTGTTTGGCGCAAGCTGTTTTTGGGGGTCTGCTCGCGTTTTTTATCCGTGTGCAATTGACATGATTCGAAGGTCTTGCAGAAGCAAAGTCTTGGCCCAGCCCTTGACACGCATTTGCTGATCTGGATCAACTTGCTTTACTCTCAGCATTTCATCAGCTGTGCAGGGCCTGCATGCCCCTTGGGAGGCCAAGCATTGCTGCATGCAGCGCTTGACCTGCCCGCGACTTGCCTCGAACTTGATGTTGAATGCTGCCCTCACGATGGCCTCGGGCGCTCTAATTGTGGCCATCAGTTGTCGGGCTTGGGGGCGGGCATTGAGGGCTGACTCTTGCAACTAAAGCAAGCTGACTATCCGCTTCACCGTCGATGTTGACCGACGAGAACTGATGCCAAACGGGTGGCCAGTCCCCTTCTCGCCCGCCCACCACGAAGCAACACGCCTCCACCAGCCTGAGGCTTTCAGACCTGAAAGGGGGCAGGGTGACCAAGGTGTGGCTCTGGGCTAGCCTTGCACGGAATGATATGGACTGTAAGTCCTGGGTGAAGCTCTCGGAAGGTCAAGCCCACGTTTACATTGAGCGTGCCACAAAGTCAGGCTGCCGTTCTTGTCCTGGGATTGCTGATGACGTGGGGCAGTGTGGCAAGTGAGAAGTTTGAAACATCCTGCTTTAAGTGCGGGCACGATCTGGCCACTGCAATGGCAAAGCACAAACAAAGTGCATTCTGAGGATTGCATCACGCGCCAAGTGCCTCATAAAAAACACGGACTGAAAAACCAGCGTGTGTATGTCTGTGTGCAAATTTATTGCGGCTAGCAGTGTCCCGGTCAAAAGCCGAGTAGAGCTGGTAGACCTGATCGATAGCACCACAAAGCGCGGACCGAATTGGAGCAACCAGGCAAATCCATGCTTGCGCTGCGTGACTGCACTGCCCAGGTCTGACCGCTTCAGGGACCCACCAGTCAGCAAACAGGCTGTCCTTCCGATTTTGTTGGTTCACTGGCGAAAGCTCTCAATCGTGCAGCTTTGCGCCTGCCCCTCGGGTGGGGAGTGGAGCTCATAGTGACAAAGTACCTGACAAGTGCCCCGATGAAGGGAGCCCAAGCCAACGGCGTGCAGTCATGGAACCAGCCTCTCGCAGTGCCAAGGCGTGCCTGGGTGATGAACTCACGAATGGCGCCGCTGTTCCACGCAAGCACGCCTAGCGGGCACGATCTGGGAGCTGGCCAACGCCAACAGAAACATGCTTGCGCATCAGGGACTCCCAAAGAGGTGTCCCGCCCAGAACCCAAAGCTGACAGCAAACATGAAGAGCCAAGGCTTACCCACCGACAACAGCTGAGGAGCGCACCACTTCCTTCACGGTCAATTTTCCTGGCTTCCAGGCTGTGGTCACGGCAAGTGTGAGAACACAGTCAACGGCCAGGCATAACAACCCCCCCCCCAAAGGGGCAAACTTCCAAAAGGCTCCTGTCAGCTTCCATGGTTGGGATGGTAAAATCTCAATTTAATGCCTATTCACCCGTCCGCTCCCCGCTTGGCACCTGTCCAAGCCCTCCTGCCTGAAGATCTCTGTGGCAATGCGGCTCAGAGAGCCATCAGCCACTGAAGTGGCCTTGGAGCTCCGGTATTGATGGTTGGTTGGCTGGATGGCTGGCTGCCAGCCTGGTTTGCCTGCCTGGCTGGCTGGCTTACCTTTAACGCCATCGTTCTTGAAACAAGTATTTGAGAAAGGCACAGTCATGCATGTCGATCGTGAGGCCATCAAAGTTTGGCGATACTGCGGCAGGGGACTTCATTAACTTAATGTCAACCAATTTTGACAAAGCCGAGCCTTTGCAAGCCAAAACCCCGGCAGTTGCCTTGTTGGTCAGCTTGGGGGTTGGTTGGTTGGCACCTCGTAACTGAGCAAAGCCATCCTGTGGAACAAACTGGGACTGTCGTGATGGTTTGCATCACGCCTTGCTGCTTCTCTGAATGAACACGCCGCGAAGTTGATCAGTCCCGTCAAGGAGGTCACAGGCCAAAGGCCAATGCGCAACCGCCCCTCAACCGAGAACGATGCAACCACGGACATGCAGCGAGAGACGGAGAGAGATCTGCATTCGTATACATACCATACGCATGCATGCCCTATGGAAGCACACACGTGCGCGCATGAGTCTTCCAGCAAACGCGCGGGATTCCCAGCATTCTGACCAAGTACGGGTTTCCCAATGCTCCGATCAAATGACAAATGTCTCCTAAAAAGCAGGACCATTGCAACCCAAGCCCGATTTAGGCACCCAAGCCATCTTCTCCCTGTGCTGGACGATCTCTTGAGTGCTCAGCCATCGGGCCTGGCCCAGGTTTGTAAGCACCAGCCAGCCAACAAATGATCCTCTTCGCCACAAGGTTGATTCCGAAAGAACAATGGTTCCATTGTGCGATTCCTTCTCTGGCCGGCTCGGGCGGGATCTTGCTGCGTCTGGCAGCTGTTGTCGAAGGGTCAAGAATGGCTCCTGATCATGCCTTTGCCCCGCTATGTTCGGCCAGAACACCAAAAAAGAAACATTGGGCCGACGTGGGCCACATTCTGCAGGAACATGGTCCCTTGCCAGGAGTGGAACATAAAACTGCTGCGACGGTGATTAATTATCTCATTGCCCCCGACAGGCAGGCAGCCAGCATGCTCGGCTTGTGCTCGAGCAGTTGTTGCGCTGAACCGCGTGGCCCAATGGTCACAACATTTGCCACAGATGCAAGTTGCACGTCTCACTTGTCTTCGTACGTGCGAGAAGTAAGGGATCGATCGAAGTACTGGTGCCCTGGGCTCCCTTGTGTTTGTCGTTTCAGTTCTTCGGAGCCCTTGCTGCGTCACTTACAGCCAACCTTGATGTTGCAGGTAGTTTGGCCTTTAAACGTAGGCCCCAGAAGCTTCCGCCACTACAATTTAGCATAAGGATCTTACGGATTGATTTTGCACAACCCCGCGCCTCCGTGCGTCCCGACACAATCGGCCGTGCCAGCCGGGAGGAGCCTGCGGACAGATTTGGGCTGACGCGCCCTGTTTGGCAAGGGGGGCCCAAAATGGGTGTCTTTTCAGGGTGCCTTTCTTGAGTTGCTTCAAGGAAAACAAAGGGCAATCAGTGAATTAAACCAAGACAAAGAAGCAAACCGCAAACCAACCGCCAAAGGGTACTTTGTTTCGAGACAGATTGTCTGCCAGGAATCCCCAAGGTCAGGTTCCATTGGCCGAAGTACAAATGATCCGCGCAAGCAAGCCGCTGTGCACTTTCCCTGGCCATCCAACCTGTTGGCGATGGGCCGGCAATTGGGGGCAAGCAAGTCTGCAGACCCGTTTCTTTTTGGTCACTTCATAGATGCGGAGGCATAGTCCCATCCAGCATTGGTGTCTTGCCTTGGCAAGCGCAGCAGCAAGTCTCTGGCAAGCAAAGTGCGATGATGCAATGAATCCAGGCTTTTCAGGAGCCTCAGCCTCCTCCTTAACGTGCCCCAGCACAGGCCATTGGCTTCCTTCCAGCTGCTCCGCCCACCCATTGTCCAACTCAGCCGAGGCACCATGTCTGCCGCGATTTTCCGGCAGCACAGGCCACCCGACAGCCGCTGGGCATCTCAGAGGGGCAGCCCAAGCCAGCCTCGAGGCTGAATTGGCCTCTTGCATGGAGGGCCTGTCGTTCTGCCCGCCCTTGGCTCCATCTGTCTGCGGGTTCATGTCTGTTCTGTTTGTTCTGCGTGCAGTGCAAGGATGCAAAGTAATTGTGTGATCCGTGCTTCGACAAATTGATTTGAGGAAAAAATGACGCCAGCAAAAGGCCATACACCTTCCAGAACACTCTCTACCACATTTTAAACAAAATACGGCCCAAGCTCAAACTGCGGCCAACGCCCCTGCCGCGCAGGGCTCCCATGTGCCTCTGCCAAGGCCTTGAGGGCCGGCACCTCGGCCGTGTCCGCAGCGGCCAGGGCCAGTGCCACCGGCAGGCCCTCTGCCAGGTCCGAGGCCCAGGCCTGCGTCTCTTGGGTTCCGATTGGACCGTCAAAGTCAATCACCGATTGGTTCCGATTGGTTCCGATTGGTTCCGATTGGTTCCGATTGGTTCCGATTGGTTCCGATTGGTTCCGATTGGTTCCGATTGGACTCATTGCCAAGTTGTGCTGTGGCGGGTTCGTTTTAGTCGACTGCCTGTGACACCAAGAGGGCCCTGAATGTAAAGTGATAAAGTAGTCATGCGGATTGAAATGCTTCTTTGGCATCACGGAAAGAGTTACATGCCAAGACTGTGGTGGAAACCGAAGAGTCCTGAACTAGAGGTGCCTGTCCAGCCCCAACCTATTCTTGGATAAAAGTCACAGAAGTGAAAACCCTCCAGGCAGTGTCCTTCGGGCTTCAATTCCATTCTAACGCCATCCGAAAGGAGGTTAATGTGGCAAGGGCTTAGTTTTGGGGATGGGTGAGTCTGAGCGCTTTGCCTTTCAAGTCGCGAAGAGTCCCGTGCGCAATGTTGCCTTGCGGCATGCAGTAACCCCGTCCTTGGCCCTTTCTACGTCTTCGGCAGCAAAGCTCACAACTTCCGCGCCGCCTGAAGCGGAAGCACAGCTCCATGTTACTTTTTCCTGTTTCCCTCTTTGTCTCTTTCTCCCTCTCTCGCTCTCTCTCTCTCTCTCTCGCTCTCCCTCACTCTCTCTCTCTCTCTCTCTCTTTCTATCGTTCTCTTGCTCTTTCTCTTCTCTTTCTCATTCTCTTTCTATCTCTCTCTCTCTCTCTATATATCTCTCGCTCTCTTGTCCCCATCACCCTGATCAACATGTAACATGAAGCCTTTTAGCACGGGCTCATTGATGCGAGCAGCCGCAGAGGCAGAGGCCCCAAACCACTCCCCCCCCCCCCCCAACCTGGCAGCAGCGTGGCCACAAACAGGCCCTCGCTACTGGAGCTCAGCAGCACCTCGCTGCCCCAGGTCAGCAGGACCTGCACGTGAAAGGGCCATGCCAAATTGGATGCCGCTACTTAGCAAGCGGGGCATGGAAGCAAGCCCGGTGGGCTCACCCGTGCTGATGAGCGTTGGCATGGGTGCTAGTGCGCACTGCAATGGCACGAGACATGATAGTGCGTGGCAGAGTTTGCGTGGCGTGGCATACCATGATTGGCAAAGCAATGCCCGTGCAACGCGACACAGTATGTAGATAGGTAATCTGGCACCAGGCAGCTAAACCTGCACGTTGCACGGGAAATGTTTCGGAGCAGTATTGTGCCGCGAAACAAGACCTCAATCTGTACTTCTTGGTCTTGGCTTTTGTGAATCTGGACGCAAAATGATTGAACCTGGTTCTAGATATTCCTTGTCCGACGATGCCTGAATCAAGTTTGCAACCATGTCCTGCAAATGGCACTACAGGCTACAAGTACCTAATCGTACAATGCCGATGTGTCAGCTCAGCCTTATGCCTGAGATTTCTCAAATCCTATGCCGCGAAGCTTTCGCCAGCCGGCACCGTGCGTGTCACCGCACTCCGCCACATTGCGCTTTAAGGCGCGCTGCGTTGCCATGCTGCCTGTTCTATACCGCTCGCTTGCAAGGAAAACGAGGAGAACAAGCAAGCTTGCAACGTGAGTTGCTCCAAATCTGTCCCACGCTGCTGTTATGCCTGGGTTTAGATAAGGAGCGCAATGCATTTTTGTCATGAGTCATGCTTAAGTGGCCTGCCACTGGCTTCATTGGATGGCCCTGAGCCCAACCGAAGGAAGGTGACAGGCCCTGCCTGGGGCCCTGCTTCAAGCCTCAGCGTCGTCGGCTGGGAATGGGTTGCATGTTCATGCCTGGCACTCAAAGGTGGTCACAAGTAGGGGGTGAGATCAAGCATGGCCCCATCCCCTCGTGTTTTCTTGTAGGAAAGCGGAGGGTATTGGCTGTTTAGCTTCCGGCTGGGCAAAGTCCCGAATCGGAACTGGCAAGGCATAGTCCACCTCGCAGAATCGCTACTGACTGATCAAGGCGCTGGTGGCTTTCTCTTTGAAACCTCTGGATACGCTCAAAGCCTCAATCATCCGTCACAGACATATGGGCTCAGGTGCATCGCAGTGACCCGCCCATACCCCACTTCCTCCATCCCCTTCGCAGCCAAGCAGCCAAGTGCAAGAGCAGCTCAGTCGCTTCTTGGTTCCTTCGGCCACCCACCAGCCAGAGCCTCAGAACGGTGACAGTCCCCAACTTGCCCGCCCGAAGGATTCAGCTTTGGGGCACCCACTCAGCAGACAACATCAAGTGACCGCAAACAACATGAAGCCAACCATGTCACAACTAAATCGTTGCCTTTGGGGCATGTGTATTCAGCCCGGTCACTCCAGCGCCACTGCTCGTTGCTCTTCTGCGACTCCTGCAACCCAGTTCCACTGACTGGGGTGCGTGAGATCTGTTGGGCTTGAGCTTGTGAGCATGCCTGATGCTCACCAAGAGCCCCTGCTGACGCCCAAAGATGCCAAACTTCGACCGCTTCAAAAGGACATGCCTTGTGGTTGCCATCAATGTGCTGACCCGATGCGCGACTGGCCTTCAAAAACACGAAGGGCACGCATCCCACGCAACGAAACGGTTGACAAACTGGAAACTCGGGTCAAATCTGTGATTTTCTGGAAGGAAGAGTATCAGCAACTTGGCGTCCGACAACTTTGTCGTGCAACCTCCAAAGGGAGCCCGGAGCCTCGGCCAAACAATTCCACCCCGCAAGGCGCTAGGCTACCTTGTCACTTCATATCGATTCCCAATGGACTAGGGAGAGGCGCTGCAGGACCAATCTCTTGAGGCTTCCGTTCTGGCAGCAACTGGAGTCGTCTACCAGCAGTCCGTGTCAACAGAACCAACTAATTAGGTCCAGCCTTGGCGGACTTTGGCGATGACCGTAAGCGTCTCTGCCAAAGCAGGCGGCAAATATTACTCTCCGACGGAACCTCTCGCATGGCAAGTGCATGAACTGCAAACCCCATGCACGGGCATATCACGGTCATATCAAGCCAAATCAAACCAATCTAGCCGTGCTATATCAAGCCAAACCCACCTCCCCAACGGCACGCCTTCTTGGGTGTCTGCAAGAGTGTCTGCACCAGCTGTGGGTCACCCAGCTCTGCCGTCAGCGAGTGGTATGCCTGCAGAATCAAACATGTCAAACAAAGGACATTCAAATAAGTTTGAATCACCATGGAAAACCTTGTTCCTAGTGGCTGTTGAAAAAGAACTGCTACGTGAAATTGAGAGTCCCATTCCGAAACGCCGCCGCAATCCAATGCCCACCAACCTCAAGTAAGGAATGACAAGAATCGAAACCGTCATCATGCGCCAGCTCCTTACTGCTCTATACGCCGGACCCTCAGGCTTTGCTGTTGCAAGAAGCTTCGCTCTGGTCACAGCACTCTGCTGGGGTGCAAGGGTTCCTGGCAATGTTTCTCCCCCCAGGCTAGTGCCTGGGGCTTTGCCTGCCAAAAGCGGAATCAAAGCAGCGGGTCAACAATAGCATTCATGACTAGGTTAACGCACATCACTGCAGAAGAAACCCTGGGAAGAGCTTGGAAAGAGACAAGCGGGCGGCAAATGAGGAGAAAACGACGAGTCGCTTTGCTTGACTGCAGCCAAGGGGGTTCGCCCATAGAAGACATATAACATGCCAGCAAAATAGTAGAATACCAACAAAGTCTACAGTTTTGCTAGGAGAGCCAAACACCCGTGAAATGCAAAGAACTGGAAGGAGCCCCTACGTGGCCTTGGCATGCGTCGGACCTTAGAAACAAATGGGCCTGTTATGCGTTCCGCGACCTCGTTCAACCAACAAGTGACCAAGCGGTTGAAGGCTTAGACATGAGGACTGCCACTTGACGAGAAAAGGAACCACTGGCCATGAGCAAAAAAACAGCACGCCTCTTCCCACAGCTGCAGCGACCTCCTCGCCACCTTCAACAAAGTCAGCAAGTGAACCGACCGCAAACGTGGCTTTGGCAACAAGGGACCTGAGCATAGCCCACGTTGCACGCATCTCCAACCACTGGGAGGGTTGCTCAGAGGACCCTGGAACATTCAATGAGCTCCAACAGCTCCACAATCAACTAAGCGGCAAATTTGACAAGGCAACGCAGGGCACTCACTTTTGGGCTGGTCACTGCTACTTGCGAGCCGTCACGAGGTTCAAGGGAAAAAAGCCACAGCTTTCAAAAGCTGCAAGGGGCCCAGAATGCACCCAAGACCCGCCCAGAATGCACGAAATGGAAAAAAGGGCGCCACATGTAAGGCACGTCGCCTTCTCGGCACCAGCGACGGCACTTTCCGGCACCAAGATCTCCTCCCCCAAGCGCCGGCGCCAGACCTCCTGTAGAAAGCAATTGCCCCGGGCAGGACAAATGTGTGTGTGTGTGGTTTGTGGGAAACCATTTCTGGATATGAGGCACGTTCAAAGTGACTTGTTTCCCAAAAAAATTTACCGAGTCCGTGTCCCTCCCACATGGACCGTACACCGCAAGTTCTGACCGAACCTCATATAAGGTCTTTTAGTGCCATTCACAAGAAACATTGGCCCGCCGCGGTTCGGCCAGACAAAGTGAAAACACCCGAAAGGTGCAAACACGTGCCTTCAGATATCCAAGGCACGCATTGAATCACGCGCAACCAAAAAAAACACCTGAAAACAGGTGGGGGCGGAGGATAAAACGACCAACCGAGCGACAATCCAGCGGGTTACTCTGCAGCTAGCCTTGGGCTACGCAAAATGCTTGTTGTCCAATCGCTTGGCTCCTCTTCCTTCTCACCATTGGGTGGGGCAGCCTCCTCCGCTTTGCTGGGTGCCTCCTTGACGACCTTCTCCCACCCAATGGAGTGGTGCAGTTTGCCGTCCTCACCTCGGCAAGCAGGCATGCACACATACAGGCAAGCAAGTCAAACAACATTCCTGAAACGAATTAAGGTGGATCAGGCAGGCGTGTCTTAAATGCGACCCCAAGGATGAGTACTGGAAAAGCAATGCAACACCAATTCGAAGCCAAGCCAATGGAAAACCAATACGATACCAACCTTTGGTGGACATCATTTACATAGATTATTTGTGCCTACTAACGGTGACTAACGATTTCCAATGATGCAACGATTTGAGGCGCGGACCCACCACGATGCCAGACCGGTCCGCCTCCCGCTCTACCGCCACTGCATCCTGGCAGCTCCCCGCCACCGCATTTCTTGTGGAAAAGAACATGGATCCCTCAAAGCAGCGTGATGACCGTGCTGCGAGTGCCCTGCTTTGAGCGGGGTAAAGGAGGCCCATGCTCCAGCCTTCATAACCCAAGCACGGTAGCCGCTGAACTTGGATAGCACCTCCAGAAGCCACTCCTGCACTTGGCAAGTGGGACCCCGGCACAAAAAGTCAAAAGCCATGTGAGCCAAGCCAGCCCGCATGGGTAACAAAGAACTTCGCTGGTGTAGGGTTGTTTCCCCGATTCAATTATTTAAATTCTCACCCCGGCTGTGACACCCCCGGCGCCTCCTCGCTGAAGGACGCGTAGTAAGCATCCAGCAGGCGAGCCCAAGGCTTCGGCTCACTGGAGTAATGGAAGACTTTCACCTTCTCTGGGCCTAAGTAGGCTCAAAAGCGCATCCAACCTCCTTTTCACAGGCCAATAGTCGCTCAACTGGTTCCGACTGCGCACACACACACACAATCACACACCTGCCACAACCAAACTGCAACAGGGAAAGAAAAAAAAAAGCAACAGCCGCAGCCGCAGCCGCAGCAGCAACAACGACAACAGCCAGAATCACCCCAACAACATCCACAACTACAAGCAACTAGAAGCACAAACACAAGCACAACCACAACCACACCACCACCACCACCACCACCACCACCACCGCCACCACCACAACCACCACCACCAGCAGCGGCAGCGCCAGTTCAAAAGAGACAAGCACTCTGTGTTTTGCAAGGGAAGTGCAGGGAAAATCAAGGGGACATGAACGGAAATGCAAGGACACGCAGGGGAGAGAAGTGGAAACGACGGGAAAGCAAGGGGAAATGAAAGGGAAACGAAGGGGAACTGAAAGGGAAATGAAGGGGAAAGGAATGAGAAGTGCAGGGGGGGTGAAGGGGGCATGAAAGGGAAACAAAGGACGAGGAAATCAAAGAACGAGATTTAGGGAAATGACTGGCAATGAAAGGGGCGTAAATGGAAAATGAAGCGGACATTCCGAGAAAGGACAGGAAAATGAAAGGGGAAATTGAAAGGAAAGGAAGGGGACATGACGAGGAAATCATAGGAAATTACGGGACATGAAAAGGACATGAACGGGAAATCGAGGGGAAAGCCAGTAGTAAGAAGACGATTCAGGGGTCATGGGGCAGTGCATGGATACCGAGGCAACTCAGGGAGAGAGAGAGAGAGAGAGAGAGAGAGAGAGAGAGAGAGAGAGTGATAGAGATAGAGGGGGGGGGGAAGGAAGACAGACAGACAGACAGACAGACAGACAGACAGACAGACAGACAGACAGACAGACAGACAGACAGACAGAGAGAGAGAGAGAGAGGAGGCAGAGACACGCGGTGGGGAGAAATTGGCATAGCGAGGAGGTAGAGAAGAAAGGATGGGGAGGAGAGAGAGAGAGAGAGAGAGAGAGAGAGACAGAGACAGAGACAAAGAAAGAGAAAGAGAAAGAGGGAGAGACAGAGAAAGAGATTGAGATCGAGAAAGAGACAGAGCAGAAGATAGAAAAAACGGAGACAGAAACAGTGAGACAGACAGAGACAGAGAAGCAGAGAGAGAGAGAGAGAGAGAGAGAGAAAGAGAGAAAGAGAGAGAGAGAGAGAGTGAGTGAGTGATAGAGATAGAGGGGGGGGGAAGGAAGACAGACAGACAGACAGACAGACAGACAGACAGACAGACAGACAGACAGACAGACAGACAGACAGACAGAGAGAGAGAGAGAGAGGAGGCAGAGACACGCGGTGGGGAGAAATTGGCATAGCGAGGAGGTAGAGAAGAAAGGATGGGGAGGAGAGAGAGAGAGAGAGAGAGAGAGAGAGAGAGAGAGAGAGAGAGAGAGACAGAGACAGAGACAAAGAAAGAGAAAGAGAAAGAGGGAGAGACAGAGAAAGAGATTGAGATCCAGAAAGAGACAGAGCAGAAGATAGAAAAAACGGAGACAGAAACAGTGAGACAGACAGAGACAGAGAAGCAGAGAGAGAGAGAGAGAGAGAGAGAAAGAGAGAAAGAGAGAGAGAGAGAGAGATGGGAAGGGAAGGGAAAAGAGAGAGAGAGAGAGAGGAGAAAAGGGAGAGGCCAATGTCGGCGGAGTGAGCCGGAGGCTCTAAAGTATGGATATATTATGACATGTCGACCTGCTGTGACGTCGTGGTCCGGCCGTCTTGGACTGGCCCAGCTCAGACAGTTGAGACCGCGCGGGAATTTGTCCAACTTAAAAACTCCTCCAACTGTGTTTGGTCTTCTTGTAAATGGGTCCTCTAAATTGACATGCTCGCCCTGAATTGACTCCTCTGGCTGCCTGCGAAACCCGCCAAAACCAGCTTGAAACATGGCCCTTGGATTTTGATTCCAGTAAAAACCCACTTCCCCGCGTCAAAAAAGAAAGGAAACACGAGAGTTCAAAGCGAGGCCCTCAAGCCTGGCAACCATTCCAAGCCCGCGGCAGCCCAGAAACTCCGCACGGTCCGCCGAGGTGACGCACTCGGGGCTCAGCACCTTGGAATAAACTCACAGGGAAAGCCGAACGCCGATCACCAACGACGAGGGGAACTCAAAAGCAAACCAAGCTAAAGCAAAGCAATTCAAAGCCAGCACGCAAGCAAATGCATACAGCCACGCTACTGAGTGGTGTTCGCTGCTACCAGCAGAAACTTGGAAAGGGAAATCCAGAGAGAGATTTCAACTGAGCAAACCACGTAATACATCTGGTGCAGCTGGAAGTTGTATGCCACGCTGATGTGGCGCCAGGTACCAGCAAAGTATCCTGAAATGAACAATCCAAGCACATTGCATTGGCACTAAACACTTAAACACATGAGACCCTTAGCCCTCCAGGCTCACAAAGCACCATCAAAAGTGGACATCCTTGAGGGCGATCCTCTCCTAGTGCTCAACCAAGGCTAGGCGCCTTGAAGGCGCCAGCACTGCCGAGGTGCGTGACAAGTAGTCTTGCTCAGGTCCGTTGCCCTGGATGTGCTCCGGGTGCCTCTCATCAGCGACCTACAGCGCATCTCTCACAGGTGTTTCCTCAATTCTTTGGTGGATCCCGAAATGCGCGTGCGAAATGCGCGTGCGCCCAGAGAAAGTGCAGCTTAGATCGGGAAGAAGCATGGCCCCTCAGTCTGCCCACCTCTGCCAGGCACTCGCTGAGTGTTTCCGGGCACGGCTGGAGGAGCATTACGCCGGCGTTGATGCCGCTCCTCGGCAAGCAAAGCCTTGCTTATCCGCAATGACTCCCTCTGCTCTGTAAGGGCATGATTGTTCATTGCGGATTTGGTGGGCATCATTCCGGGGAGTGGTCCAAATTAAATGTCATAGCTACAAATTGGCTGTTTGGCTATGTGGGTTGGCAACTCGGAAGCCACAGAATACGTTGCATTGCGCGGCCACTATTTTGCCCTCCGCGCTGCTTCTATCTTCGAAAGCCGCACACGCAGGCAACCTGTACACATGCTGGAACTCACACCAGTGCCACATTTCCGCGGGCCCGCGCAACATGTTTTAAACCTCGAATCACACATCCCAGTAGTTCCACCCAGGTGAGATCATCCTTACCAACGATGGCTGCATGTTTGTCCGGGGGGGTGGGTGGGTGAGGGCGCATTCCGAGAAACTGCGGCGCGTGCGCGTCGCCCCCGCCTCACCTGTCAGTTAGTAACTAGGGTGTCTTGTGCAAAAGGTGCCTCCGCTCGTCACCAGTACTTAAGTCATGGCCTATCCTTAGCAAAGGGTAAAAGAAATTCGCAAAGGGCGCCTGAGGCAAAAGGCAGCCATTGCTGCTAATCCAACCTGGAGCGCAGGCTCCCAGGGTCGTGGGGCAGCTCCCGGTGTGTCCGGTAGGACCTGGGCCCCGGGGTGATGGGCCCCATCTCGGAGGGGAGCCGCGCCCGCTGCCGCGCCGTGCCGAAGCTGAACTTGGGCGCCTGCGCTCGCTCGGCCGAGCGTCCTTGTAGTTTTGCCTTTCTCGGTTTCTCTCCTCCTTGAGTGAATGACGTTTCGGGTCAATGCCCACAATTGAAATTCCTGAAGGTTGTCTTAGGGAGGGTCCCTTTGCCATTGGTGAGGTTGTAATTGGTTCCAGTCATGTAGAAGCCGGATTTACGCCATGTTAACTACAAAGAAAAGCGGAGTGACCATATTGATCAAGGGAGTAAATCAGCGAGAGACAAATCCAAGATCGCAACGACCATTAACCACAGAATCCCCCTACCTTAGTGGGTGGGGAGGTCAAGAAAAGAGGGACTTGCAAATGAAGCTCCGGGGCTCATTTCCCCCATCCCAGAGAATTGCCGCACTGTGCTGGAAAATTGAAAACAAACAAACAAGGAAGTGACACGTCCGACTCTTCTTTCGCGCCTGGCGCATGGACGAGGCCAGGTACTCTCCGGGCCCCGGGCCCGCGCCAATTTCGGCGTCGCGGCGCGGGGTCATCAGCACCTGCCCGCGTCTGGAGAAGGCCTGACGGGGCTAAACTCGACAAAAACTACCCCTGAAGAAAGGCGGGTATATACCCTTCATATTGTGGCCATTTACATAGTGCAGCTGATAGTGGCTGTATTCTGAAGGAATGGCCCTACTTCAAGCCTATGATTGTTAGCCTTCAGCCATTGTCTCCCCTGGCTGATGAATAAAATGTCTTTCCTCAATTCTATTCAGCAACATCTTCCTGGGATGGACCCTGCCTTCAGTCTAATTAGGGGGCACATGGATGCCGAATCCATCTGTGGAATCCCCTGTCGGGAAGGTTGTGAACAGAGTGCTTGAACAGTGCTAGCGCTAAAAGAGCGGCAATTGAAGAACGTTATAGGTGAAGCACAGTTGTGTCACTCAGGATGATGGTCAAGTTTTCGACAACGCCGTTCGTGCGGCAGCATTATGGTATCCTGGGACTATATAACTGAACATTGGGTAGTGCAATCCAAGCCCTAGCTCTACGCCACGGAGGATGAGGCGCAAACAGGCAAGACCAGTGTGGGCTCTTGACCGCGGGGATGCGCTAGCATCAGCGGCCCCGCCTCCGGACAAGGTGCGCCCCACAAAAAAGACGGGCCCAAGACGCGCGATGTTCTAGATGGAGCTTTTCCGTGTCATCTGTGTGGTCGCAAGTATGGCACTCGTGCAGGTTTGTCGCAGCCTGTGATGGTCACACGCCATCACAAAAGGGCACGTTTCGCGAGGGAGGCGTTGACTGCCCAGAATGCCCACGTACTTTTGAACGGGAAACGGGAAGGGTTCGGCATTTGCGGCATGACCATACACTGCCCGCACCTTGGATTTGTCTTTTTTGCGTCACGTACTGGCCCATTAGAAATGTTCTGCCTCTGCACATCGCAGAGTCTCAACCTTTTCGGGCGGAGCGTTAGGTAGGACGCACATGTACTGCTTCTTTTCACGTCAAACCGCGAGTTTAAGAAACACCACCTGCAGCGTCGCTTGCACAGGGATTGACAAATGACTGCTACTTTGCAAGATGGCTCAGTCGCAGCAGTGGCTCGAGGCTTCAGCATAGGCTTTCTTGCACGCATGCCGACCTCGCGGACGGCCGACCAACGATTCGATGAGATCAACACGAGGCTTTCTTCTGCACAGGGGCGCGATCGGGCATGCCGACAGGTCACGGTTTTCGCCAGCGGCAGGTTCAAAGCCAAGGAGTCGGGTTCTGGCGGTGGTGCCCCTGTGCCGTGGAAAGTCCAGGTGGCACACATGGTTGGGCAGGCGCTTGCGGAACAAGGGGCCAGTGTGGAGGATGCTACCAAGTTCCAGGCTCTTTCGTCTGTGGAGGTTGAACGCTGCAACCACAAAGAACCCTCGGAATCGGGACCATCGGTCGTTATCCTGGGCTTTCGTCCGACCTTGGCTGGATTGGGTGCGAGGGACTTGCTTGAAAGTGAAACTGTCCGCGCCGCCACTGCCAAGCAAGGAGGGGAGTACCCGGCGTGTTCTTTCAGACCGGGGCGGTGGTTTCCTGTCAACTTCATAGACATGTACTGTTGGATGGCAGCTGGGATGATGAGCAGGTCCAACAGTTTGCCAAGGCAAGCAAGGTTCTAAACCGTCAAAGGCGGCAGAGTCCGATGATAAGAGGCCTGCAGATCAGAAGGCGTCGCAGGTTGCCAGGGCGGACGGTCGCAGAACAAAGCGGTCCTGCTTGAGCGCAGGCTGGACAAGGGTAGAGCCTTCTTTGAACCCCTAGTTTTTGATTGTGGGGCTTGCATAGATCAGACCGGTAGACCGGCAGACAGTCAGGGTACCGTCCCTGCGCAAGCTCGCTCTGTAATATGTGTGAGCTGTGCACTCGCTGTCGCTGAACAGTTTTGGGGCACGTCACACGCGAGCAAGGTGGCGTCCGTGGATGGGCGGGCTGCTATCCGACGGTGGCTCTTCGTTTGCTTTTACATGCCCAAGTTGTGTGATGTCAAGAACATTTATAGCAGTCCCTATGGCACGATCATCGACTACAACATCGCATGGTTCTACCTCCCTGCCCGATTTCGGGCTTGGATGGAGGTCTTCACGCTTGCAAGACCGTGGTGGCAAAAACCCTGGAAGCCTGGAGGGACCCTTCAAAGTTGGACAGGTGCCCGGGCCCTGTAGGTGCTAGATCTCCATCGACTCCCAAGGTGGCAAAAAGGCACCCGTTTGTGCGCATGTTCCCCGTTATGTTTCAATTGTAGCAGGGCAGCAGCACGCAATATCTGAAGATTGCGGAGTATGTGCTCAATTGCCAAAGCACAACTTGAAACCCCGCAATCGGCCTCCGGCAGGTTGTACGCGCCGGGCCCCGGAGCCTTCCGCACGGTTTTCACCTCCTCCCGTCTGGGCGTGCAGGAGATGGGCGGCACCCGAGGCGCAGGATCCACGTAGCTGCCAGGGCCCGGGTTCTTGTTGGGGAGGCGCTCCTTCCTGGACAGCGCCCCAGAAAGATTCAGGTTCTGAGAAAGGCTCTGAGGACCGTCCTATCCGGAGCAGGCAAGGAACGAGTCTTTGCTCCCGGCTACTTGGCGAGGAACACTTGAAATTGCAATCAACTTGACAAACTGCAAACCCAGGCCTGGAGGTGGTACCGAAGCCGAAGCTGGGCGTTTTCTTGTACCGGGAACTGAAGTCAGTGTGGTGCAAGTAGCTGCCGGGCCCGGGGGTCTTGAACCTTTCCTTGCCTTGCTTGATCCTTGGTTCCCATGCCCACTCACCAACCCCCCCCCCGGCATCCGGCTCGCTTGATTGCTGCCAGGGCACTTCAATCCGAAACTGAACTTTGGCGGATCCGCTGCGGTTGAATATCCTTGACAGGCTGTCTCCTCGCTGGCACCAACACTAGCACTGGGTGTCTGCCTCCTTGACTGTGGGGAGTTTTGCGACTCGCGAGCGTCTTGCTCTAGCGGCCGCCCTGTTGGTCCAACCTCTGCCGGGGGCTCATCTGTCAGGTCACCTTGCGTAAAGTCGGACAGCATGGCTGGCTGGTCGCGTGGCCCTGGTTGAAATATGTATCACATGCGCTTAGTGGTTGCTCTTGCAATCCTATACCTGCTTTTTAGTGAAGCGCTGCAATTGGTAATTTAGCAATGCTAGCACCTGCTTCCAGCTTCAGGAAAAACACCGCAACAGTGGAGAAGAATTCACATGTGCGACAAGCATCACATCTGTGAGAGGCGGCGGAAGGCAGTTTCGAGAAGCGGCGCCAATCATTTGAGAAGCATGTCACAGCACGTCTGCAAAAGTTCACGGACACACCTTCTTTCCGCCAAGCTCAAACCGCCACAAACTGAGCCAGGAGGTTTCCGGGGTTGCAACGCCCAGCAAATCCCAGGAATTCGAACTCACCACACCGTCTGAAGCGTTGCAATGCCAAGAGGCGACTGATTCCAGCCGTATGGGCCCGGGCGAGTGCCGCCAAAGAAGTAGCTCCCTGCGCCAAGTAAACAGAGCTGATTGAAAAATTGAAATTCAATTCTCTTCATCTTTCTTCCTCTTTCTTCCCAGTCCATCCCGCCGAATCCCGCCCATGTCCCACCCGGCCGTTCATGCGCTGGCCATGGCGATACCCGCTCCAAGGGCCGCGGCCCATGGCCGCAGGCGCCGGCAGCTCGAAGAGCTCGTCGATGTTGCTGCACACCTTGAACGGGCGAGTCTCCACATGTGGAACCCACGGAGACTCCGAATTGACTCCAGAACAAACTGAAATGTTCTTTGTGCGATGCATCCTGTTCTAAAACGCAATCAAAACCACCAAGCAAAGCATCAGATGTTTTGCCAAACAAAATAATAGCATCAATGCATGACACAGTCGTGCACGAGGGCAGCATGACAACAAAAAACACACAAGCCCGAAACACAATGAAAAGCAACAGCTGACCAAAAAACGTCTGTTGGCAGTGCAAATGTGCAATGTTAAAAGAGCCTGACACAACATGCAACAAAGCATGAAAAAGCGCACAAAACACTAAGGCGAGAAGGGAAGCAAAGAGATGTTTCTTTCCGAGCCATTATTAACAGCTGGCACGGCACGATGTGACTTTGACCTTATGTATGGTAGCACGGTTGGAATTGATATTGTTCTTGTTTGCCTGACTTTCTGGCTTTGCATGTTAAGCTGGCTTAACGGCGCCCATGGCGGGTGGTGGTTCAGCATACGAGAGCGAAAAATGAGATTGGCATCTGTTCTTCTGGAGGTGAACAGCAGGATGAGACACAACCAATGACACCTCACCAGTCAATGGTGACGGGTAGTAGCAATAATGACAAGTGGCAAGCAAGTCGGCATCCATGAGAAGTACCTTCTCGTACTCGAAAAGGCCGAAGACCCTTGCAGGCATCGACGTGCTGAGGCCGCTAAACCATGCCAAGTATATGCTAAGCAGGACAAGTGCTACACATAGGCAAGCCACGACTTAGTCTCTGCTTTCATACAAGCGCCCACCCAGCCTGAGTTTGGTAAACCTTGGCGGCCGGCGTGTGTCGAAAGGACGGTTCTCTGGGATGCATCGCTAAAGAAAGAGACCTACTATGGTGTTTAGCTGGTGGCGCACGGCACGTCACAAGGGGCGCAATATTTTTTTGTATAGGAGCTTCGCATGCTTGTCGAAAAAGCACGGAGGATTCCTCGAGTGCTTGTCAACAGCTTGTTGCCCTGGGATTGAAGGTAATGTAAGCGTGCGTCAAATGATTGCAAGGGCAGTGCCCGTTCATGCCAAGCTGTTGTGCTGCTTTTGGTTACCGAGGCGCACCCCAGCACACACGTTTGCAAACGTGCACAAACGTGCGCCTTCAAGGAACTGCACGGTCACATTTATTTACGCTACGGAGTCTGTTGCCAAGTTTGAAACGGATGCAACACAGAGCTGGTAGCTTCCGCACCCGAGCCACTCAATATGTTGTTTGCGTCCATGTTTGCTATGCGGCCGCACATGCCTGACCTGATTGGGCCCTTGGTGTCGGTGTATCTGGCTCATCTGTGCGCTCTTTTTTGCGTCACCTCCGTCCTCTCTGTCATGCTGCTCCTAAGGGCCTAGTTCAGAAGGATGCCATCGTATTTGGTCTGGAACCTCAGCTTCTCGTGAAATGCGGCGCCTCCAGTCCATGAGAATTTCCTCAAAGTGAAATGGCCAGTGGCCCTGGAAAACAAAGTCACGTACGTGCCAACAAAGGTAAAACGTGGAAGATGATCATGTGGCCAAGAAGCCATTTCTGGCCATCCTCCTTCTTGAGCTTGTGGGAAGCGCCGATCTTGCCAACCTTCAGCTTGCGATTCTTCACACGGGTGCCTGGCCGGGAGAGGTGGACGTAGAAATCCATGCCGTAAATGCCGGTGCCAGGGTCGTACTTGATGCCCAGGTCAATGTGCTCCTCGGTTGAAGAGTCCATCGTGCAAAGCCGCGGCACCAATCAACTGACATGTGCGCCGGGGGCAAAGCCATAGCATCACAAAGCCCACAGAATCACAAAGCAACCCCTTCGCGCCAGGGCACGGTGATCCCGAAACCGAAGCTGCCGTTCCTGGCAAAGTTCTTCTTGCGCAGCTCGTACTCCTTCACCTTGAGGCCCTTCTCCAGAATCTCCTGCAAAGAATTGCGCCAGGTGCAAAGACCGGCAGATCCTTGGGGAGGGTAAACAGCAATTAGCAATGTGTTGAAAGCTCACGGGGCCCGCATGAGCACAAGTGCATGCATCTTGGATCACGACCTTCTGTTGCACGCGGCTACAAGCCGCGCCCTTGATGAGTGTATTCTGACATGGCCCCCGTACATGCAATGTCTCCAGGCTCTTGAGCTCTTTGTCACTCAATCCGTTTTTCTGGGCTCTCCTCGGCTTTCTCCCCCCGCACGGTGACATGACAGGCGATCTTCTCGTTGCGTCGGACGCTCCTCAGATCAGCGTCTAGCAAATGACCCCTGTCTGTGCCTGAGTGGGAGGAACATCTGGTGTCATCGGGGTGTGGGTTTCCAAAAAGCCTTTGATAATCCAACAAGAAACAGAAACAGCGCCACCACCACCACCACCACCCACCAGGATTATACGATGCAGCTGTTTTTTGGCGGCCTGAAAAACGTCGCACAACCAGCAGCCAGAGCAAACATGCTCACCCACTGCAGGCAAACAGCCAGGGATCCTCTCAATGGCGGCACTGACCAAATCTAGTGCGAGGAAAAGACCCTCAACCGACCCCACAAGAAATCACATTAAATCCCATCCTGATTCAGCCAAACATCACCCCGAACCCTTCCTACCCCAAAGCAACACAATACCAACCCGCCCGAGCAACACAGTCAGAACCTTGTGTTTAAGCACCCCACAGCCTGCCGACCAACCAACCTACCCGCCCACCAACCAATCAATCGACCCAACCAGGCCGGAAAGGGTGATTGCCAGGGCTCAAAGGCAAAAACAAACAATGGCACACTGTCCCGAGGCGCCACTGACGGATGGTCATGCGGGCCTTGGAGAAGACCGGCTGCTGCTCTGTAAGCTGTTCCTGAGCGGTGTTTCGGAGCAAGGCTTTCTCAGCAATCAGGAACAACGCATCTCTTACCTCTGAGTACCACTACGCCGTCAAATACAATATCATCGATAGCCAAACGGTGTCAGGCAAGAATAAACCGCGGATGAGTTCATTGATAAATGGAAGCAAGACAATTGAAACACGAGAGTATTCACTTCCTTCTTGCTTTCTTAATCAACCTATCTCGTTCTTCGAAGTGAACCTAAAACTCAAGAAATGTGTGTAGCAGTAGAATGGTATGGTGTTGTTGTGTTTGAAAGTTGCTTTCAGATACGTCAAAAGACGAGTTGAAAAAAAATATAAACTTCTGGCTGCCCCAAGGCTACATACAAAGGGAAGCAAGCCCATGATTGCAGGGCACGAAGAGGTTCGGGCCAACCGACAAATTTACACCTTTGTGGCGTTAATCCAAGTGGCGTTGGCCTGATGGCCCAAATTTCGCTTTGCCCAACCCCGGGCTTGTTTCCCGTGCCAAGTGGCCAAAACCTTTGCGGCGCGGGTCAAGCGGTCGCCACTCTCGCCGACACTGATGTTGAGCACCAGCTTCTCCACCCGGATCTGCCGCATAGGGTTCCTAACATGAGCAGACAATAATACCAATGGTTTCTTTGGGTCAGCCTGGGGGGAAGAAAACATCAGGTCCTCCAGACCCAATGAAACACGGACTAGTACATGTCTGCTCAACATTGGGCGGAGGAAAGCCTGCAGCCAATTTCCTTCTGATCTCTTGCATCAACAGCAGACGCCCGCCTCTCACCCCACCCACTTTGCACACACTCTGCCAGGGCACTCAGACTTGTCCGCCATGGCCACCGCTTGTTTGTGGCTCGAGGTGTCTGTTACGCTCTCCGCTTGGGCCGAATGAGTCCGGAAATGAAGAGTCACATGCACTGAGGAGCCATGTGGCTGATAACCATCACAGCCGGCTGTGCATCATGACTCACCAAAAAATAGGCTAACTAAGCACCAGCGCTTCCAAAACCTTCATGGTGAAAGGCAAAAACGTCCAACAGCATCATCCCGGTGATTGGAACCCAGCTCTTTTCCAACTTGGGCCTAGGAGCACATCTGCAAAGCGGCCCTCCCTGCAGTGGTTCCCATAGAGCGCGCCAACCGCCTCGACGTACTCCACCTGGATTTGCATCTGAATGAAGAAACCCCTCAGAAAACATGCGGGAAAGTGAAGATGAGGGTGTGTCGCAATCCTGTCCATGTTGCCAGCAAAGAATTTGCATTTTTCAGGAAACCGGTCCGCTGTGAGGTTCCATGTTGGCGGATGCAAGGGTATGAGGGAACGTTACCCTGCAGGAAGGTGAAGAATTGCCCTGCTGTGCGACGGAAGTGTTACGTGAAGAATGCATGCTAGCGCGGGCCCCAAACGTTAACAGTCTCGTTTGTCGACCGACCTGTTTGTGCAGAATGCGTCCTAGGGCAGTGGACAGGATGGCCTTTTGAGAAATTCAGGCGCGAATTTGCTCAAAAGGCCCGGTAAACAATGATTAAGGACCCGCCAACCATGCTCGAGTTGCCAGTAAAGGCCACAGCGCAGTGGACACAATCGACACTCACTCCTTTTGCCTGAATTCCCGAGTCTGTTGGCAAAATCCTAGAAAATCCAGAGGTAGGCACAAACCAGAAAAGGTATTCTCCGAGAAAACGAGTGTAGGGGCCGGACGGGTTAAACCCAGCCACCCCCAGACCTGAGCGCCCCGCCCCCCCCTGCAGCTGGGGGAAGGGGGGCCTTAGATCTACAAAAGGATGCAAGCAGACTCATCCAAACCGACCCGCTCCAGCGTCTCATGACGCCCGTGTAGGAGTCGTAGGGCTGGATTGAAGCCAGGCGTGTGAGCACCGTTTGACATGATGAGCTCCAGACCAAGCAGGGCTGCGGGCGTGGCTAGGAGATTCCTAGCCGCCAGGATGAAGAGGCGGGGTGGGTCGAAGAGTTCGAGGCCGCGGCGCTAGCAGGGGCTGTATCGACTTGACCGTCTTAATACCAAAGGCGAACTGCCAGACAGAGTCTTAGAAGGGGTTGGCCTGAGAAGCGCCCGCAAGGTGGCCCTGCCCTCGCTTCACCGGCAGCCTTCCACGCAATAAGACCGCGGTCTGTCTGCGAGAAAGATGATCGCCAACCGGGCGTTCCGGGGAGCCAGGCTTCCCGAATGCCCAAATGGTAGCCCAGCAAAGGTTGACGGAAAGCTCCCGCCCTTCAAAATGACGCCCTCGTCCCCCCTCCCCGTCCCACCAAAAAGGGGGGAGGCGGTTCTTCTCAATGCCTCTTGAGCCAAAATGGCCCCAAGGTCTCTCATGCCACTTGGCCCCATCACAACCGAGGATGAAAGCGTAAACGCTGTCACAGCCACCATCCAACCACTGTTGAATAATCTGTCCATCCAACTCTCCCAAAGGAAGTCCAGGAGACCCTGTGTTTAATCGAATCAGTAAGGGGGACATAAAGCCGGGTTTCCTTTCTTATGTCACCATTTAAACATCGCCTAAAAGACCATCCAAAAGGAGCACATATCCCCCTGCAAATTGACATGGAACCCAATTTGTTGGGGCTTCATTGCAGGCTTCATGTTCATCAGCCGAGTTATCCAGCGCCCCTCTTCCACCCGTCCGCTCCTCGCGTGGCTTCCAGCCACAGCGCTCTAGGAGTCCGATGGCCTGTAAGGCCATCAACCGGAGGGATGTCTTTTTCTGAAGCTCGGTGGCTCAACCGGGGGGGATGTCTTTCAAAGGGAAGCCTAAGCGAAACTGAACAGAAAGCAAAGGTCAACTCAAGGGAAAGCAAGGGAATCCACGGGGTCCGCCAATTTGAGCCCATTCAATCAACTAAGCAAAGGTTCCACCTAGAGAGGCCCAGCATTTCGAGCATGCTTGCGGAAGCCCCTCAGACATTCGGAAGCCACTGGGCAAAGAATTGAGCCAAAAGCCCCGCAAGACCTCACCTTGACGGGCACGTCGCTCGTGTGAAGCAGCACCATGTCATGTTTGGTGCCTGTCCTGGCACTTCACCCAAATTGGCACAAGCTGCATCCGCAAAGAGCGCGCAAAAAGACGCCAAGATGTCCTCTTCAAGGAATGAGCCAGGACCATGGCACCAAGGACATACTCAGGGTTGAAGCCCCAAATGCACACCACATAGGCGAACCTCAGCTGCTGATCTCACAGGCAGAAACCCCAGAGAAAGAAGATGAAGCTGCTAAATGACTCGAACAAATCTGCAGCCAACTAGTGACAACCAGACTGAAACGAAGGACATCTGTTCAAGCTAAGCCAGGGATCTTGCCGCTGCTTGCTGGAGCCTCCTGCCAACAGGGCAGCCCACAAAGGGCCCAGGGATGGGAACGGAGCAGGATGCTTGATTGCTTGGCTTGCCGAAGAATGCAGCAAGTAAAACCCAGCCATCCACTACCCACGTCACGTGCAGGGTAACAACGCGCCCCGAGAACCAGCTAAGAAAAGAGGGCTGTTTGGATGCTTGGGCTGACCTTTAAAAAGCACCATGTCCTGAAAGTGCATCCACAAATGCCCGGAACAAAAATGCAAACCGAGACAACTTCAAAGCCGCCCAGCCTCCCGCCGCCGCTTTGCCGCAGGGGAGGGGCTGGTCAAGGTCAGCGACAGTGGTCGCTTGCAGCAGGTGCAGTAGCCAGCCCATGAGACCTATCAAGTCAGATGATTTGAGCCTTTCACTTTCTTCTTGCATCCTTCCGCAAGCCTCATCTGCATTTCTGCTGTGCTCCTCAATGTCCACCCACTTCTTGTCATCGGCGCGCACGCTCTCCCAGGATGGACCTGCGAGAGGCACCTGCTTCACTCCGCCATTCCCGCCTACCAAAAAATATGCGAGAACTTGGTCACGGCTTAATACCAACTCTGCCACTGCCTCTGAGCTTGCACGTGCTTGTTCCTTCAAAGTTGGCTCTGTTCATTTTTTTGACTGGTGGCATCTTCCCCTGGTGTTTCAGCCACTCTAGGCTATTCCATTGCAATGAATCCAGCCTGCTAACCGTACGTTGCCATATGCGGCCACAAGCGGAGGTGCTGAGGAATCAGTTCAACTTCGCAATGGCTTACTTGAGGCCGACCTTTTCCCTTGTCTGCCTTCAGCCTTCCAGTTGCTGCCACAAAGGAGGGTGGGTTGCAATGGTGAGTGCCTAGGCCTGGCAATCAGCCCGCCTGGATGTGCCCAGTGCACCGCACTGTGACACGGAGAGGAGATGCGTAGCCAGCGCGGCTGCTGGTCCAGCAATCGGCCTGAAAAGGAGCGACTTCAGCAAAGGCTGACCAGGCCCAATCACGCCGGAGCTAGACGGGTAAACGCGTCTGCCAGAAAATAAAGGTCCCCTGGAACATTCATGGGAAGCCCTCCCCAAAACACATGCTAGCATCCACACCCTGCATGGCCAAAACGACTTTGCCTTTGAATGCAGTTTGTCCTCTTCCAAGGATTGCTTGGACAGTCGGACATATTGCAAACAAGTAGGGTAGGTCATCCAATTATTTTCATGGGACCCTGAGTCCCCGCTCCCGTGACGCTTCAGTTACTTGCCCACGTCCAGCTGAGGCGCGGCAAAGCCGCCGAGCATTGCGCCATAAACCGCAGCCATCATTGCTGGTGGAGGCCATGCTACGCAGCACAGCTTTGCTTTGTGACATGTTACTTCGGCTCGGTAGCAATTTGAAGGCCAACGAAGGGTGCACAGCTCGCTTGTCTCCCGTTGGGACCTCCATGGGCCCTCCAAGACTCACGAAAAGGGAAAGCTTCGTCACCAAAGGGGAGCATAGGCGAGCCCACTCCCACATTGGCAAGGGAGGCTGTGACTTTGATGATGAGGTCTCTCAAAAACGGGTCTGGGCAAAAAGCTGCGAGAATGCCAAGTCAAGTGGGCGGTGTTGGGTGAGATGGTATGGCTCCGAGTGGCCTCTGGGATTGCACCACACAGCACCTTCAAGTGTCTACATTTGTTGAGCTGTCCTCCTCTCCAAACACCCTACCCGCAAGGCGCTGCAGCGACACACGGCACACCTTCCAGGGACTGCGCATCGAGGCCTCGCGCGTGGTGTGCGAGACACAAAAGGGACCCCTCGGCGCGGGGAGCTGAGCTGCAAGTCCTCCAAAAGCCAACCATGCCAACATGTTCACATGAGTCAAAAGCCCCACACCAGAGCTCTGCTGGAAAAGCGAGGCAGTAGGTCAAAGAAAAAGTATGCACCGTCACGAAACTCCGAGGTTTGGGGACACCGCTCCACACCCAAGCCGTTTATCAGCTAGTCCTCCCCCACTTCTGGCACCCAGCACCCCTTCAGACTTGACTGCAGGGGTTCCCCTTTTTGGGGGTACTGAACCATCCCTGGGTTTAAGTCTACTCTGGGGGTAGTCAGAAAGTTGGACCTGCCCCGACAAGTACAATTCCGGACCATGTGTTGCCATCATGCCTAGCATCACCCCCAGCCGGCTGGCCCACCCATCCACACGCACCCATCCACACCCACTTACCCACCAACCCACCCAACTTCCCAACTTCTCCGTTCATGCCTCGAATGCATTGCGTAAACGAAAGGTAGGGAATGTCTCCTCCAACCTGCTCTTCTCAACAGCTTCGTTTCAAGCAGCCTGCTTCACAACGGAGTCAAAGCCGGGCCATTTGGACCGGCAGGTTTGCCATTCAGCTTGGGATTGAATCACGTACCATACGTACCCTCACCATGGGCTTGGGTCGATGTCGACCTCCTGGCCTCCCTGGGTGCTGACGTTCCAGGCACTGGCGGCCATCCCCTAGGCAGGGCGATGGCATGGCTCCCTCGATAACCCCTGAGTCAAACTCACCCAACTGAAGGCTTGCTGAACAACCAACCAGGAATGTTTGAGGTAAGCCCCAATTGAGTTGACTATCCCACCAAGCCCCCAAAAGCAGAAAGAAGGAAATCGTGAGCAGTCCATTGGCACAGTGGCTTTACCCCGCGCCCCAACATGCACTGCTTTGCAAAGTTGACCACTTGCCGGCTGAAGGACAGGGCCAAACGCCATCCCCTTGTCGATTGAAAGGCGGGATGGCTGCAAACCTTCGCGCTGAAAAGGCGATTGTTTCAGGTCAAGCCTCAGCACTCGAGGCGCGGCAAAATTGAGGAATACGAATCCAAAAGGATGATTGGTCGTCAGGCTAGCTTTTCACATGTTCTGTGCAAACTCTTCCAACATGCTGTTTGTGGCTGCGTCGGCAGTGCCGCTGATGAGCCCGAGGATGGCAACGGCTGCGGAAGCCAAACGTGTTGAAACCCTCTTTTGTTTTGCGCATATACATGCACATTCAATTTATATGTGTATATATATATACACGCATCAGTATACATATATCTATTGACATAAATACACATTGATGATTGTATCCCTTGACTTGGTGAGCCTACAAATCAGCAAGCAGCGAGGAACGATTCGACAAGGGCCTCGTCGATTTGCCAACTGCCCACGTGCAGCTAGAAATCCGCAAGGCCTCTCTGCCGATCTTTTTGGCTCCGGTACCAGCTCAGCGGCCAAAGGCCCGAGACGCTGCAGCAGCCCGCGCCTGTGCCGCCCGTGCCTCCTGAAGCAGGCAAGTACCCTGATACCAGGACGCAGGCTTCCTTTCGTTTCCAGGTCCCTTACAAAGCGCCCCTTGGCTCTTTGACCCATGGCCGTTAGAGTTCCCTGCCCTTGCGCTCGTCCTCCTCTGCTCGGGACGCCTCACCACGCAGTGCCTCCGCCTGGCTTTGAGCGGAGACAACTTCCTCGCGCAGGGCATGAGCTTCACCTTGGACGGGACGGCACCGCTGTCAAGCCAGTCACATCACATGCAGAGCTTCCAGCAGGCAGCGGGCCTCTGAATGATATGAATCTAAGGTATGGAGACCCGGCAACGCTTTCTGCAGGGGCGGTGACAAGTCATTCCTGCAGCCCGTCAGGGTATGACCGCACAAAGGTCATAGGGTGCGACTGCACGGTTGGGAGTGAGACCTCTCGAAGATCCAACGTTGAGTTGGGAGCGCCATGCCCTCTAAGATCAAAATAGCTTGTAGGATGATGCCCTGACCTGTGGGCCCGGCCTATGCCCACAAAACGATGCGCCCGCTGGTTTCGCCAAAGTGCTCGCTCCAGCCTCCAACTCGACCAGCTTCCTCCCCTCCGATTGGCGCAAGCCTCGGGCAGCTGACATTGACATGTTCTTAGACTTCTTAGCAGGCCCAGGGGTTCTAATTGCGGGGTTCTCCAATGTCAGCCTGACATCGAGGACCATCCAGCGCCCTCGCCCAGTTGCCCCGCGCCACTTGCGGTGGGAAAGGTGTTGGAACCACTTTGGGGTTGATGCCAACCACTTTTAGTATGGCGGTACAAAGGGATCCACGGATGCTTCCTATTGAAGGCACCCTTTTGAGGGTTATCTTAACGAAAACCAAGCGGAAAGCCATTCGTTTGCTTCCTGATTTGGAGGCAAGCCTGCGTACAGTACAGCTTTCCTGTGGCCCCAGGCTCTGCTCCTGATCCAGTTCCTGGCGCAGCTGCCGCATCAGCGCCTCGTCCTTACCTCGGCCAAGGGTTTCCACAATGGGCACATGCCCCTCGGCGTAACGGCGTAGGGCTTCCAAAATTGGGCACACTAAAGGCTGGCTTCCAGGTGTCCAAGAGGCTCAGCCTGCCCAAGACTTGATGCAACGCTAACTGTTGTTGCTTGCAGCGCCTGTCCGCCCAAGTCTTCCCCTACTTTCGGCAAGGCCCAAGTCCAACCCACGGAGTCATCCCAATCAATGCTCAAGGGCGCCTCGCCGCTCCGCTTCCTCCTCGAGCTTTGCCTGTGCGCCTAGCAAGCGTTTAGGACGTTTCGTCGAACCGCTTCGAAAGGCTTTCCGAGGGGTGTCTCAACGAAGGGGGGCGCATGACTTTGTTTGTAGCGGCTCTGACATCAGCCACTTGTTAAGTAATTAGCAATTAGGCATGGGGAAAGCAATGTTCGTATTCCTCACAACGCTCTCTCATTTCCCGCACGCACACTCACACACACACACACACTTGAACTCCCGAAGGAGGGTACTCATCAACGTGCTGAGTGGGTCTTCGAGTAATAGTTTCGGCTGGCAGGTCACTTGGCTTCCCTCTAGTGTCGACTACGTTACAAGATTCAACATGAAGCACACACAGCGGCAAAAGAAGAGGGCCAAATAGACTTTCAGAATCACTCAAATGTTGCAGGTACACAAGGCTGATTAGGCCTTGCATCCCCTCCAGTGATGCAGCTTCGTTGGGCAAGGTTCATCACTGGAGGCCTTGCCCCCCTGCGATAACAGGAGAACCTAAAGGTGGTGGCAGGGTACTCTGCCACTCCGCACACACACGCCCCTCCAGGAGGGGCAACCAATACCTTTTGCATCCGGAAGACCAAATCAGCAACCTCCTAGTGTCTACCAAAATATCCAATGCCTCAACTGAACCGCTTGATGCCGTGCAGAACCCGGATACCTCCATTCAGGTGGAACAACTTGGGACATCCCAGCGCGGTCCACTTCAGCATGATCGCAACCTGATGGACCTCTTCTCCTACTCCTCTCCGTTCTTTCCGCCCGTTTTGCCATCTATTGCTACGCAACGGGGCGTACTACTTCCAGCTCAACTTGGTGATCCTGTGTCCCCGTCTTCTTAGCGGCATCGCACAGACCGTGCTAATTCACGTTCTCCTCGCCGCTGTGTTGACGGAAAAGGACTCGTGACGGGTCAATATCCGCTGGTAACCTTGATGCTGCCAATCTTGAATGGTCCAGGCTTCGTAGTGATGATGCGACTGATGACTCTGCTCAGATTGCCAATCATCATGGCCTTGGGTTTTGTCGTGTGATGGGACAACCGGCTTCCACACTCGAAAGTGTTATCCGGCAAAGCAGGCACATCCTCATGTTGGCGCAATGCTCCTCTGTCTACTCAGCAACCACTTCAAAAATGGACTTCCCCTTGACGTTCGAACTGCAAGGGCGGCCTGTAGTCGGATAAGGTTCAGCGAGTCCTTCAGGTTCAGACTGAAGTTGATCCGCGTCTTCAGCAGCGCGTACTGGCTGATGAGGCGTTGATGCTTGCCGCAATCGATCCGCAAGCTGTTGGCCAATCCCCGCCTGTAGACAGGTCAGATCCTCGGTGGAGAAGGTGGATGCATCACAAGATCGTAAGATCGCCTCAAACAGCTGCGGGGACATGCCGAGGAATGATGACTGTGTGGCCACGCTGTGATGGTCAGGGGATAGAATCGAAGCCAAGTCCCGCTCAGGCTCAGGAGCAGCAGTCACGCTTGTACCATGTGAGAACCGTGGATTGAACGCCATCATGAGAGTGAACTTGTCTGTGGCGCAACTTCCATTCCCGATGCGTTTCGCGTAGAGGAGGTTCATCATGTTCCTCATGTAGTGTCCATGAACCTGGGTGAAAGACTTTGACCCATTGAGCGTCAGGTTGTTGAGGATCAGGGCACCACTCCAACCACGGCATGACTACGTAAGATCCGACAAGCACATCCGAAATGCACACGGCTGCAGGCAACGAACACTTCATGCCATGTGTCACAAGAAGTGTCAATCAATCGCAAGAAACTCGGTCCAGCACACAAGGAGCACGCAACACCGAACGCAGCAGTTTACACCCAGCAGCAACTAATGTATCGATGTCACTCGCCCCAATCAAACTCGGGATCAGACCATCCGAAGCCGAGGATGCCGCCGATGAGGACCCTGACATTCCAGCGAACATGAGGTCCGGCGGTCCAGGTGGGAACCGAGGCTGTGCAGGTACCGGGTGCGGATTGCCAAGCTTTTACCACCCTCTGGTGTTCCAGTCACGATAATGCCAGGTATAGAAGGACGCTTAGGAGACCGGCTGCCCCAGGTGAAATCAGCTACTGGTTGCCACTGACCCGGCATGTAGACTCTAATCCATTCAGAAACGGTTTAGAAACGGAGTAGCGTGGGACAGTCCACCTCCCGGTTGTCGTCGAATTGAACATGATGCACGAACCAATGGCGGTGAGACAACGCAAGGGGCATGAAACCGAGAAATCTGCGAGAGCATGAACATGTAAACAACTCAAGACAAGTCAACGCAACCGATGCGCAGCCAACGTGCAACACGGAAATGTTTTCATGACTCAGAAAGTTCACAATCCGCATGCCCATCGACAATGAAAGTGCCCCGGCTGGCGTCGTGCACAGGGAGAAAGGCACTTCCGGCCACTGTCTAGGAGTGCATGGCAGTAATGTTTGCATCGCATAGTCCTGGAACGTGTAGCGCGAGACGATCTCTTGGCAGTGCACACGGTGAATGGTCTGCGGGAGTAATCCGTCGCCGCCGGCGCTGTGATACTCATCACGGTTCGAGCTCGCTTGCGGGGGTATTTGGATCCACGCGTAGAGGATGCACTCCGCGAAAGATGTTGATGATCACCTGCATGAAGACGGCTAGAACTTTGAACTGGTTGTCTTGTGCGGCTGGAAAATGTAGTAGCCTGGTATGATCCGCCACGTGGGAGTGATGGCGGGGGGTCATCGTAGTGTAGGCATAAACTGCGGGTGGTGGAGGAGGCGGAGGAGGCGGTGGTAGTGGAACTGAGTGGGGAGGTGGTGGTGGAGGCGCCGGTATGCGTATTGGTACTTCACAACGTGTTTGGTACTCACGAGCGTCTTGCGCAGGACCATGGTATTGCGTCTGAACATTTTCCTCCATCATGTCTTGATCCATCATGTCTGCATGCAAAGCAATGCAAGGAGGAGCTGAAGACAAAACCCTCAACACTCAACATGATTTTCACCGCATCGGTCCGCGTGAGCTTGGAGACTGTGTAATTTCGCGCTTCAAGACGTTGAAAGACCTTCCAGGCCTGTTTCCTCCTCCGTGCTCTTCTGAAGGGAACGGGCAATAGTTTTGTAGGTGGGCCTCGCGCCCTTGTCCTTTTTACGCCTGACCATCTCATCCAACTCCCCTTGCGTCCAGGCCGTAAATGGTTCGTGGTAGGCATTGCGAAGCGCCGCCGTGAATTCTTGTAAAAGTTCACGAGGACCAGGCACCACGGTAGGAGATGGGCGAAATGACGAAGCACCTGGGTGAGGACGGATAGAATGGTCCGAGTCAGAGTCCGGGGTGGAAGTTGGAGTGGTCACGGGTCCGCGGTTGACGTTGGTGAGAAGCGGGTTGCTCGTAGTGGGTGCGGTCAATCTGGGTGGTGGAAGGTTTGCAACGAGGTCAGTCCTGGGCGTACCTCCTGGTCGCGTTTCATGTTCCGCACCTGTCCCCGGAGTAGCATGACGATCTTGACGAGGAGGAGATAGCTCGGGCACATACCACGTTGATGATGTGTCCAAGGGCCTTGTCCCCGTGCGTGGTGGTGCTCTGGAACGGTCCGATGTGATGCGCTCAGTAATGATGCATGGTCGCAGACAATGACGCGAGTTGCGTGTTTGTCGGAGTGCCGTACTGGCATCAGACTCCGCACTCCGATTCACAAGGTGTCCAGAGAAGCTGAGATTTGAGAAGCGAGAGCGTTGAGGACGGTAATCAGGTTATTCACGAACTCCGCGGACAGCCACATTGCAACCGTAAGCAATGAAATGACAACTCAAGCAAGGAGTGGCTGCGAGACAACACAAACCAGACGACAGGATGTACGCAACCGCTGCGTCAAAGAGCCAAATGTCTTTGACCTGGCACCGAGCATCAGCGGCCTCTGGGCAGTCCGGACGGACGGCATGCTGGCATAGCCTTCAGAAGCTTTCGAAGGAGCACCTCGGTGTTCTGTGGCTGCTGGAGGCACACGCTCCTCCAATTGCCTTCCCTGGAAGCACTGTCACTAATGGCTCAATGGGATCCCCATCCGCCAGAGTCGCGGAAGTGGCCACAAGCGTGGAAGTGACCGATGCCCTTGTTGGTGGTGCCTTCGGCGATGCTGGTGCCGGTGTCCGAGGAGGTGGCAATGGTGGCAACGTAGGATTGGAAGGCTCCGAAGCAGCTTGAGGCGGCACAGGCGGAACAGGTGGATTGGCACGCGGTACAGCAGGAGGAAGTGGCGGCTGCGCTTGCCGCTGGTGTCCTTCAATGCGCTGTAATCCAGCCAGTAGTATGACGCTTCCTGCTGATCGGAGTGATCTTCCGTGAAAATTGAAGCGTTGACCGGATTTGCTTGCTGGGTTGAGTGTTTGCGGGTTGTGCACGCATATGGTCGCTTCATCTCATGGCATGCTTGCAGCCGCTTTCACCGATTCATTGCCAGCTTGTAGCTTTACCTGTCATGCATCATGGTGACCTTTTGAGAGAATGTCGTCACCTACTGTACGCCATCTCGTCGCAGATCAGTATGGTAATGAGAGGCAGCGAAATCAGCGTAAGTGCCGCCACGCGGAATCATGCAGTGCTCCTGGCGCAAGCGGGACTTTCCTCCTATGCAGAGAGGACTTCGTCTTTCAGGATGCTGATGGCGGATTTGATGTCGGTGTTGTGTGCCCAGTAGAACGTCGAGATCGACTGGGTGCGGAAGTTGTCCGGCAGCCTGCGTCGCGGCTCAAAGGAAAAGATGATCCCGTAATGATTGCCATGAGCGTCCTTCTTGTTCGGCTCGAAGCGGTGGTAGGCCTTCGCGGTTTTTCGGATGTACGGCCAGCACTTCTCTAGTACTCCCAATTGAATGCTGAGCTGCTCAGGCAAAGTCGTGAACGAGATGTTGAACTCACGGGAAATATCCCGAAGAACCTCCGCGGTCCACGGTCCTGGGTTGCCATGAGGTAGTCGATCAGCAGCAAATTCAGAGATAGATCGCACTCTATGCTCATCTCGGAA